ATGCATGCATGGATGGATGGATGGATGGATGGATGTATGCGTATTTATCCTTACATATACATATACATATACATATAGATATATATATATGTATATGTATATGTATATGGATATGGATATGGATATGGATATGGATATGGATATGGATATGGATATGGATATGGATATGGATATGTATATGTATATGTATGTATGTATGGCATGTATGGCTGTTTGTTTGCATGTCTGTATGTATGTATGCAGTTGTTGATGGTCTTATGGATCGATTTATGAGCTGCGGGGTGTGCCTCCCAGCCTGTGGCAACTATCTGTCTGTGTATTTCTGTATTGTACACCACCATAAACAGCTATTCGTGCTGGTGCCATGCCTCAGAGCGCTGGTTGAGCAGGGCATGACGACCGCCAGACATGTCCACACCGGGGTACGGCATTTCCCGCATGGTCGTTCTTCGAGGTTGGAAGCCTTAAAGCATCTGAATGCTATTAGTAAATTGCATCCAAGAATGGCATGTTCCAGCGAGGCAAGAAGTCCTACAGCGGCGAAATACTGATCCGCCCCTGCCACGAACCTCAACGCTGCGCATTTCCCATCACTGTTCCTGCTGACTTGGCTCCGCCAATCCAGGCCGGACGGTCACATGTGAGAACAAGTAACGCTAACCGCAAAAGCCTCCACATGGTGATGCGTAGTTTTGTTTCAAATCCACAGTCCATGGGGGCCGCCGGATAGTAGACTGAGGTGTACTACGAGGTGACACCCTTCCTGCAAAACTACTATACCTACATTAGCCAGAGCCCGAGTGGTGCACCATGATTGCCGCATCCGGTTGTCAGCGTCGACGGCTCGAGTCAGAATGTGGAGCCTTAAAGCCCCCGCGGGCGCCTGGCCGGACTTGCAACCGGTCGCAGGGAAGGGTAGGGCAGGCTCGTGCTTGGCTGCCCCAGGCATAGGGGCCCGCTGCATGGGGTCAATCTTTTGTTTGCTGAGCAAGGCTCCGTTGCATGGCAACAGCTTGAGGGGAAGAACGACGTAAAGGCTCCTGTCGTATGCGAAACTCGTACCCGTGCCTTGGCATTGCGTGATGGTTCAAGAGGCTTCGAAAGGTTCGGAGGTCGACATAAGATTGCTTACTAAACACTGTTAGATGGCATGAAGAGCTGGTGATTTCGTCACAACGAGCCTTGAATGATGGCAAGATGAGTTCAGTGAAACGGCTGGGCTTTAATCCTATTTCTGCGAGTCCATGGAGCTTTGCCGGGAGACTACTATGTTAACTACATGAAGACTGAGTAAGAACTCTTGTGTCTCCTGCAGCTATCAAACCTTGGCCCACTCTTTTGCATAATTGACTTGCTACGCCAGTTCGCTAAACACACATACACGCAGACACGGTATACATTCAAATGAACACCGAATAACACCGACATAGATATTCCCTTTTCGTACGTCTCGTACGGGTCAGTGGCTTGACATGCAGACAGACTGCAATGATGCATAGCGACATGAACATGAGGTCAGACGCAGCAGGGAGAAGAGATTTTTCCATGTGGGCTTATCGCGACCTCCGTGTTTAACGATTCTCGGCCTCGCACAGGCCTGACAGGCATGACAAGAGTGAGAGCTAGTTGGGGGTTCTGGGTCGTCCGCAGACAAGGACACGTTCGAGATTGAGGGCATCCCCATTGATACAGAGTCCTCAGACATGCCTGTCTGGCGCGAGTTCCACAATCCACCAGACTATCCAGAGCGGCCCAACGTCTCTTGGCTCTACGAGCGATACCCGACGGTCACGAGCCGTGCCCTCGGGATTCAAAGCAAACGCTTCATTGCCTGGATGCTGCCCAACTTCCTCAACCGTGCTGGGAAGCCTTACGGCGTGGTATCGCAGCCCTTGAAGAAAGGGCAGCTCATTACCTTGCACATCACTTCCACATTCCGAGTTCAGGCTTTGGGAGCCACAAAGACTTTGCTGCTAACGCGAGGAGCTCAAAATTACACGCTCGCCTACATTCTGCTGACCAGCAACACGTCAGAAGGAATGAAGTTTCGGTGCTGCACTTGTCCAGCGCAGCAATATCATTGTTCTTGCTGCGCCAACATGTGACATCTCAGGCGGAGCTCTCTGCTCTGCGTTGGTCGCCACGGTTATCGCCGTCTACCTGTCATGCGGCCGCCAGCCAGGGAAGCCGCGGCAAAGGCTTTCAGGCTTTTCAACCAACTGGAGACACGGCCCAGAATTTGACAGCACGAGCAGCGAAGAGGAGTCGAGTGCTTGACTGTCATGACTGACGGAGAGTGTTCGAACAGCTGCCTCCGTCATTTCTCACGATGCATCAGGCAAGTAAGGCGCCTTGCTATGCCTGTCGCCAGAGATGCTTTATGGGCCAAAGAAGTCCAGACATTAATGGCGACTAAATCCGAGATTGGAAAAATGATATTTACTCTATAAAATGCTGTGTGCTTGCTCCGGTTGCAAAAATCCTGAGATTTTTGGATCGTTGGTATGCGTGCGGTTGTCTACCTTAAAATTACAGGCGAGTCGAAGAACAAAGCCGAGAAATAAAGATTTTGAAGGTTGCATATTGGACGCACAATGCGGTACGAAACCACCAAAATCCCCAACGTTTCGAGGCTTCCTGCGCGCGAAACTCCGGAAAACCCAGGCAGGGAAGGTTTCAGGTTTCGTACGACACGAAATTCTTGGATAATGCAATATTTCGTAGCACGACGGTATCGGTTAGTTTTGTTCTATATTTTAATCTTTATTTCTTGGCACCACTTCGGCAAATATTGGATTTTATCGATATTTAATATATTTATGAATGATTGGATATATATATATTGTATTCTAAAGAATATATATGATTTATTTTAATCTAATTTGGTTTTTTGCACGATAAAGAAATAACATGAAATAGAATCCTATTTTCTTTTTATTTTATTTTATATAATTATTTTTATTCTATATTTTACATCTTGATATAATTATTTATTATTTTCGAGAATGGTATTATGAATTAAATATAACAAGAATTGTGACTCGTATTTTATTTATTTATATTTCTTTTAGTAAGAAAATATAATTATAAATAAGGAAAATAAGATTAAAGAAACGAATATAAGAGAATTTTAATTGAAAAAAAAGATTCTAAAAATAATAAAATATGTATTTTGTTCTTCGCAATTAAAGATAGATTATTTTTGGGTGTCGTTTATTTTAATCTAAATAAGATAAAAGAATTATTTTCTATTTTCCTTCTAATCGAAAGAAGGAATGAAACAAGAATGAAACCAAATAAAAAGAAGAGAATATTTTTATCGTTCTTAATTTCTTTATTTCTTTTCTTTGTCTTTTATTCTTGATTTCTTTTTGATATTTCATATCTTCATTTTTAAATAAATCGAAATTAAAAATAAAGAATTTCTTTAATATAATAGAAATAGAACGCGAGGAGCGAAAAAAACGATCATGAATTTTCTTTTGTTGCTCTAATTTAATTCATCCTTTCATTTCATTATATTATAATTAAATTAGAAAAAGAATTATATACTTCATTCATCTCTTTTATTCTTGTTCCACAACCTATGATTTTTTCATATTTCATTCGTTTCTTTGACTTATTTTAATTAGAAATAAATATGCACCTTATTCATTTTAATTCAATAAACTTAAGCAAAGATATATAATATAATAGAAGAGCGAGAATAAAGAACGAATTATTTTATGTGTTTATATTATTTCAATAAACGGAAATGTAAGCGAGAATAATATAAAGAAGAGAATCAAAGCCTCGTACTTCAATTTCAACAAAAAAGATATATCTCAATCATATATGAGTATCTAGATTTATTATATTTCTAAGATATATTAT